TCGATGAGGCCCTGGGCAACCTGGTCTAGTTGGGGGTGTCCCTGCTGACTGCGGGGGGGTGGGACTAGATGGCCTTTGGAGGTCCCTTCCGGCCTGGGCAATTCTATGATTCTATGATTCTATTAATCTGAATCTTTTTTCTTCCAATTTAAAACCGTTTCCCCTTGTCCTCTCATTACACCTCCTGGCAAAGAGTCCCTCCCCAGCTCTTCTATAGGCTCCCTTCAGGTATTGAAAGGCCGCTATAAGGTCTCCCCGGAGCCTTCTCTTCTCCAGGCTGAACAATCCCAGCTCCCTCAGCCTGTCTTCATAGGAGAGGAGCTCCATCCCTCTGATCATCTTCGTGGCCCTCCTCTGGACCTGTTCCAGCTGGTCCATGTCCTTGCACTGACACAGCCCAAGAAAAAACATCAAAACGGTAAAAAGGCTCAGAAAAAAAATATAAAACACCATATTAAGGTGGGGAAATTTCCCAAAATTGGCAGCTCTGCCCGTTGTGAACGTCCCCGGGGACAAACACAAGTCAGGACAGTGTCCCCACAGCCTGGGGGCTTTCTGGTTGGCAGAGAGAAATGGGAAACAACTGGGAATACAGGAATGATTCATTGCTCCAGAGGTTAGAGAATGTGTTGCCTGTGCACGTAAATCACCCACAGCGGGGATTAGCCTTAATAGGTGCAAAACCTCCTGCTTTCTGCCGACCCAGGGCGCCGTGGCACAGGCAGTGATCCAGGTCCTGCCTCGTACTGGGGGGTCCAGCCCCCCATGGGATGAGCCAAAGCAGCTGATGGGTTCAGCACAGCCGTGCCCCGAGCAGCTCGTTATCATTTTCCACCCCTGTTAGACCTCTAAGCAGATTTGCATTGCACTTTAAATAGAGAAAAAAAAATGCAAATTGTAAGGGAAATATAGAAGGTGGAGAGACACCATCTCTGTATCAATACAGGCTGGGGGTGGAGGGATGGGGAGCACCCAAGGAGAGCAAAGGTCCCCATGCTCATGGGGAGCACTGAGGAGAAGGATTTTGGGGTGACAGTGAGGGGAAAAGCTGGCCACGGGCTGGCAGCCCAGAAAGCCCCCCACATCCTGGGCTGCATCCCCAGCAGCGTGGCCAGCAGGGCCAGGGGGGGGATTCTGCCCCTCTGCTCCCCTCTGGGGAGACACCCCCCAAGTGCTGCCTCCAGCTCTGGGGCCACCAACATCAGAAGGACATGGAGCTGTTGGAGCGGGGCCAGAGGAGGCCCTGGAGATGCTGGGAGGGCTGGAGCCCCTCTGCTGGGATGGGGGGGCTGAGAGAGTTGGGGGGGTTCAGCCTGGAGAAGAGAAGGCTCCGGGGAGACCTTGGAGCCCCTTCCAGTCCCTAAAGTGGGGTGGCTCCAGGAGAGATGGGGAGGGACTCTTGATGAAGGAGGGGAGTCCTAGGAAGAGGGGCAATGGTTTTAAGTTGAAAGAGGGGAAATTGAGATGAGATATTAGGAAGGAATTTCTCATTACGAGGGTGGGGAGAGCCTGGCCCAGGTTGCCCAGAGAAGCTGTGGCTGCCCCATCCCTGGAGGGGTTCAAGGGCAGGTTGGAGGGGGCTTGGAGCAACCTGGTCTGGTGGGAGGTGTCCCAGCCCAGGGCAGGGGGGGGCACTGGAATGGGGCTTGAAGGTCCCTTCCCACCCAAACCATTCTATGATTTAGCTTTTACTCCCCAGACCTTTCCCCATGAGTGTGAGGGGAGGACCCGAGGACAAAGACGTTGAAATTCTCACCCCTTCCTTGGCCACCAGCAGCTGCTTCTCCGCGTTCTGCTTCTTGATGTTGTAGTACTGGACCTCCACCTCGTGGGTCAGCTGGAGCCACTTCTGCAGGGCCTCTGGGGCAGCCCAGCTGCAGTGGGACTCCAGCTCCTTCTCCGCGTTCTTCAGCGCCATCCGAACCTGGGAGAGAAGCGGCCGAGCCGATGTTGCAGCAGCAGCAGAGGGGACAACCTGCCCTCCTGAGAGGTCACCCCAACTGCTGGCTGCCAACCCAGCGATTTGAAGGCACCAGCAAAAAAAGAAAAAGGAAAAAAAGACTCCACACAACTTAATCTTACTCATGAAAGAAGCAACAGTCACCAGGAGGAGAGGCGGTGCAGGCAAGCGGGAGAGAGGAGCCACCCAACAGAGAAGAGCCATCTAACAGACAAGCCATCTGCTGGGTGGGATACCCAGATCATCTCACAGTGCTTTGATCCCAAAGGTGACCTCCTTCCTCTAAAAACTCAAGCCCCCACCACGCTGTCCTTCCTTGGCACCTCAGGCTGATGCCAATGATGTGAAGTTCAACACAGACAAGGGCTGGGTCCTGCCTTTGGGTCACACCAACCCCATGGATGCTCCAGGCTGGGGGAAGAGTGGCTGGAGCTGCCCCACGGAAAAGGACCTGGGGGTGTTGGTCAACAGGGGCTGAATACAAGCCAGCAGCGTGCCCAGGTGGCCAAGGAGGCCACCAGCATCCTGGCCTGTCAGGACCAGTGTGGCCAGCAAGACTGGGGCAGTAACCGTCCCCCTGGACTGGGCACTGAGGAGGACCCACCTCGAGGGCTGGGTCCAGTTTTGGGCACCTCCTGACAGGAAAGACCTTGAGGGGCTGGAGCGTGTCCAGAGAAGGGCAAGGGGGCTGATGAGGGGTCTGGAGCACAAGGAGAAGGGTCTGGAGAACTTCTGAGGGAGCTGAGGGTGTTCAGCCTGGAGAAAAGGAGGCTGAGGGGAGACCTTCTTGCTAAATCCAAGAAGGCCAACAGCATCCTGGCCTGTATCAAGAACAGTGTGGCGAGTAGAGCCCGAGAGGTGATCGTCCCCCTGTACTCGGCACTGGTGAGGCCCCACCTCGAGTACTGTGTCCAATTTTGGGCCCCCTACCACAAGAGGGACATTGAGGTGCTGGAGCGGGTCCAGAGAAGGGCAACGAAGCTGGTGAGGGGTCTGGAGCACAAGTCTTACGAGGAGAGGCTGAGGGAGCTGGGGTTGTTCAGTCTGGGGAAGAGGAGACTGAGGGGAGACCTTATCGCTCTGTACAAGTACCTGAAAGGAGGCTGTAGAGAGACGGGGGTCGGTCTCTTCTCCCAAGTTACAGATGATAGGACAAGGGGTAATGGCTTCAAGTTGCGCCAGGGGAAGTTCAGGTTGGATATTAGGAAACATTTCTTTACTGAAAGGGTTATCCAGCATTGGAATGGGCTGCCCAGGGAGGTGGTGGAGTCACCATCCCTGGAGGTATTTAAGAAACGTGTAGACATGGTTCTTCAGGGCATGCTCTAGTGCCCAAGATTACTGGAGGAGGCTGTAGCCAGGGGGGGTCGGTCTCTTCTCCCAAGGAACAGGCCATGGGACAAGAAGAAACAGCTTCAAGTTGCCCCAGGGGAGGTTGAGGATGGAGCTTGGGAAGAATTTCTTCCTGGAAAGGGTTGTGAAGCCTTGGCAGAGGCTGCCCAGGGCAGTGGTGGAGTCACCAGCCCTGGAGGGATTTTGGAGCCGGGCAGAGGTGGTGCTGAGGGACATGGGTCAGTGGTGGGTTTGTCAGCGTTGGGTTGATGGTTGGACTCAAGGGTCTGAAAAGTCCCTTCCAACCTCCACCATTCCATGATTCTGTGATCCTCAGCTCTCAGCAGAGCTGTCCTGCTCTCCCTCTCCACACCAGCTCCTCTGCCTCACCACGGCATCGCCCGCAGGGAAACCCTCCAGAGCTGAGGGCCCCACGTATGAGCTCCTTAAAAGAGAGATCTCTGCTCTGCACAACCCCCAGATTCTCCTCCGGAGACAGAAGCGCTGACAGCCCCGCACCGGCGTCGCTTCTTCTCCTCTAGGTCCTGAGCCAAACAGAAGGAGCTCGTCAAGAGATGACTTTCACGCTGGAGCAAGCCGAGAGAAATATTTAGACATAAACCATGTGCTGCTCAGTCAGGAAAAGAAATAACATGTCTGGAATCAGCAGTTTCTGGCACTTTCTGGGGGACTCTCCTCCTGTCCCAGCTCAGTCTCCTCCACACACCATCGCTCTGGTCTCCTCCACACACTCACTCATCTCGCTGGAGATGGGAGCGATTGCAAAATTAGAAGGAAAGTGGGTGACTTGTTGCAAGTTGAAGATATCAAACCCTTACATAAAAGCATTTTGTGCTGGAGACCATCAGGAATTAACGTGTCTCTCCCATCACACATGATGTGGAGAGACTTTAATAAACCTGAAGCCTGATATGAGCCCTGCAAGGAGGTAACGTGTCCCACATTGGAGGAACCAAAGGATGGTGACCTCAGCCCGGAGCGGTGGTGGACTGGAGAACTAAAGGGGCTCCAGGAGAGATGAGGACGGACTCTTGATGAGGGAGGGGAGCCCTAGGAGAAGGGGAAAGGGTTGGACCCTGAAAGAGGGGAGATGGAGCTGAGATGTGGGGAAGAACTTGTTTGGTGGGAGGGTGGTGAGAGCCTGGCCCAGGTTGCCCCGAGAAGCTGTGGCTGCCCCATCCCTGGAGAGTTTCAAGGCCAGGTTGGAGGGGGCTTGGAGCAACCTGGTCTGGTGGGAGGTGTCCCTGGATGGAATTGGATGGTCTTTAAGGTCCTTCCCACCCAAACCATTCTAAGATTCTGTGAACTCTTCAGCCCCAGCCCCTCCAGGCTCAGGAGGGTGTCCATGGTCATACACTGTACAACAGACTCCTTTGCTGCTGAAATAAACCAGCCCTAAGCACCTTCAAGAGCTTCCATGGTCCCAAGAAGCCCCGTCCCACCAAAGCAGGCCTTCTCCTAGCAGAGGCGGAGCTGGGAGGGAAGGTCCATCTACACAGTCAGGGCCACACTGGTGTCACTGAGATGATGGATGTTGTCTGTTCCATTTTCTCTTTTGGTTCTCCAGGGCCATGGTCTAATCTCACAGACAGAGACCAGACCCTTCCCAATGTCCCAGAGCAGGATCCCACATCCCGGTGTTGGTGCCTCCTCGCTCCTCACAGAGCACAGCCGCCAGTGGGCTGCAGAAAAGTGGGTTTTTTAAAACATTGCTCAAAGTTGGATCTTTTCCCTTAATGTGTTTTTTAAATTCAGTCATGTCTCCCCACGCCTGGCCCAGGTGTCATTTCCAGTGAGCCAAAAGCACCAGGTTCTGCACAGATACTTGAAATCCCATATTTTCTCCTGGAGGACGTTTGCACAGTCCATCTAGGAGCAGCCAGGAGGCACCGCACAGAAGAGGTCAACTACTCGTGTGTGATTTAGTCTTGTTGAGCATAACTTTCAGCTAAACCATTCAAAAAGTCACATATTCCGACCCACAGACCCCAAGGAAGGTGGTTTTTCCACCCCTCTGAGACCAGCAGCACCAGGCCCTGCTCCCACCACAGGCAGAACTCGGACCACGATCCACAAGCATCTGGGATTTAGGAATACGGAGAAGGAGCGGGCAGGAGATCTGGGTACTTGGGGTGGAGGAGTGCTCAAAACATCCACAGGAACAAGGGGGTTTTTATGGAACGGTGGAGAAGGGAAGCGGTGTGGAACAACAGCCAAGGACGGGTGGTTGAGATGAGCCAAAGGGAAGCAGTGTGGAACAGCCAAGGACGGGTGGTTGAGATGAGCCATGACACGGTGGTGTCCGAAACACAAAACCCTCTCAGTTCTGGAGGGGCATCAACACAAACTGGAGGTACTTTGTGTGTCTGTGTTGTCCTGTGAAGATTTCTGAGCTCCTGTAATTTTGATTACTAAGAGCAAGAATTTCTAGAGCAAGGAACACCCAACTCCACTGGGAGCTTCCAAACCCTCCAGTATCATTTTAAAGAAGGTCTTGTTTGAATATTGCCCGGGACCCAAGAATATCCAGAAATAGGATGAGTTTTAGGGTCAGTGGGAGTGACTGGTTAATGTCATCTGTGGTCTACAGCTGGGAGGGTGAGGGTGTTATCATCACACGGTGTGGGTCAGGTGGGGACAACCAATACTCACCCCGGCATCGCATCCCTCACGGAGGCCTCTGAGAAACAACAGAGTGGTTCAGTCACCTCTGGATTCATGGGTTTCTCACCAAATAAAAGTTGGGGGGGTGGGATGAGAGAGGGACGAGCCCTTCTCCAACGGTCAGGAGCAGGAAGGGTACGGGGGCCGGGGTTACACGAGGAAGGTCACGTCCTTAATTAATGGCTCATAATGATTCAAGGATTGGAGCATCTCCCTTATGAGGAGAGACTGAGAGAGCTGGGACTCTTTAGTCTGGAGAAGAGAAGGCTGAGGGGAGACCTTATCAATGCCTACAAGTATCTCAAGGGAGGGTTGAAGGAGGAGGGAACCAGACTCTTTTCAGTGGTTCCCACTGAGAGGACGAGGGGCAACGGGCACAAGTTGGACCAGAAGAGGTTCCACTCAAATATGAGGAGAAACTTCTTCACGGTGAGGGTGACAGAGCCCTGGAAGAGGCTGCCCAGGGAGGGTGTGGAGTCCCCTTCCTTGGAGATTTTCAAGCCCCACCTGGATGCTCCTGAGTAACATGCTCTGACAAGCTCTGGGTGGTCCTGCTTCAGCAGGGGAGTTGGACTAGATGATCTCTATGGTCCCTTCCAACTCTAAAATTCAGTGAAATTCAGTGAAATAATATATGATGGGATTTCTGTGTGTGAACACGGATGCCCCGATGCCTGTCCCGAGCCCAGTGACTGCCCCATCCCTGGAGGGGTTCAAGGCCAGGTTGGAGGGGGCTTGGAGCAACCTGCTCTGGTGGGAGGTGTCCCTGCCCAGGGCAAGGGGTGGGACTCTGTAGGCCTTAAGGTCCCTTCCAGCCCAAACCATCCTGTGGTTCTATGATTCTATCTATGACTGTGGGGAGGCTGGAGGACCAGTTAGAAGAACAATGTTGGATGATGTAGAGATGTAGAGTGATGGGGGTTGGTCTCTTCTCCCAAGGAACAGGCCATGGGACAAGAGGAAATGGCCTCAAGTTGCCCCAGGGGAGGTTGAGGATGGAGCTTGGGAAGAATTTCTTCCTGGAAAGGGTTGTGAAGCCTTGGCAGAGGCTGCCCAGGGCAGTGGTGGAGGCACCAGCCCCGGAGGGGTTTCGGAGCTGGGCAGAGGTGGTGCTGAGGGACATGGGTCAGTGGTGGGTTTGTCAGTGTTGGGTTGATGGTTGGACTCAAGGGTCTGAAAAGTCCCTTCCAACCTCCACCATTCCATGGTTCTATGATCCTCCAACCTGGACCATTCTATGATGAGACCAATCCCTGTCCCACTGCTCCCCAGTTACCCCCTGGCCCAGGACACTTATTCCTCGTTTATCAGTGGAAACCCTGAATTCATGTCTCGAGACCAATCCCTGTCCAACTGCTCCCCAGTTACCCCCTCACCGAGGACACTTCTTCCTCATTTATCAGTGGAAACCCTGAATTCATGTCTCATTTTCTTCCCCATCCTCCGTGGTGGCATAAAATGCTGGGCACAGTCACGCTGGGAGGACGTGCCAATGGCCCCAGAATATTCCTGGTATGGGCTTGACTCACCCAATTTTGGCTCACACAATTTCAGTTTAAACTGATATTTGCCAAACTCGTTTCTTTTTTTTGCCAGCAGCACATTATACATCCCATTCTGCCCAGGCAGAACATACATTGCAAAGTATAACTCAGGGATGTATTTTCCTGCAAGGCTGAATTTAAAATTAATATTTTTTTTTGAGAATTGTGTGAACTCTAACTTTGCTGTAGAGATTTCTAATTTAGAGCTAAATTTCCTTGAAGCAAATTTCCTTTGTACACATTTCTGATCTACAAGAAAACCTGGTAAGAACATCCAAACTCATTCTAAATATCTCCTAAAACCTTGAATAAATACAAAAGGAAATAAGAAAGAGCTTATGGTTTGGAGTTAGAAGTCAGAGGGCTGACCTACAGGCCAAGTTCAACACTTCTCCTTCTGCAGGTCAAGCAGGGACAATGAGCATTGCCCTCAAGACATGTTCCTGTTGCCCAACACGGTGTTGAACGTGTGGACAGAGTGTACCCTCAGCATGTTTTCTGGTGACACAAAGCTGGGAGGAGCGGGTGACCCACCAGGAGGCTGTGCTACCATCCAGTGAGACCTGGACAGGCTGGAGAGTTGCGGGGAGAGGAACCTCATGAAGTTCAACCAGGGCAAGTGCAGGGTCCTGCACTGAGGGAGGAATAACCCCATGGACCTGGACAGGCTGGGGGGGACCTGCTGGAGAGCAGCTCTGGGGAGAAAGACCTGGGAGTCCTGGTGGAAAACAGGATGACCATGAGCCAGCAATGGGCCCTTGTGGCCAAGAAGGCAAATCATCTCCTGGGGGACATCAAGAAGAGCGTGGCCAGCAGATGGAGGGAAGTCATCCTGCCCCTCTGCCCTGCCCTGGGGAGGCCACAGCTGGAGCACTGGGACCAGTTCTGGGCTCCCCAGTTCCAGAAGGACAGGGAACTGCTGGAGAGATTCCAGCAGAGGCTGTGAGGATGATGAGGGACTGGAGCATCTCTCTGCTGAGGAAAGGCTGAGGGACCTGGGGCTGTTCAGCTGGAGAAAAGCAGACTGAGAGGGGATTTCATTGATTCTGAGCAAGAGCTAAAGGGTGGGGAGCAAGATTGATTCTGACCAAGAGCTAAAGGGCTCTTGGTGGTGCCCAGGGACAGGACAAGGGGCAACGGGCACAAACTGGGACATAGAAAGTTCCATCTCAACATGAGGAGGAACTTCTTTGCTGTGAGGGTGGCAGAGCCCTGGCAGAGGCTGCCCAGAGAGGTGGTGGAGTCTCCTTCTCTGGAGACATTCAAACCCCACCTGGACACGTTCCTGTCCAACTTACTCTGGGTGGACCTGCTCTGGCATGGGGTTGGACTGGATGTCCAACTTGCTCTGGGTGGACCTGCTCTGGCAGGAGGTTGGACTCGGGGGTCTCCAGAGGTCCCTGCAGACCTCGACCAGTCTGTGATTCTGTGTGATTCTGTATGGGGGATGTGAAACGTGGAGTAGTGGAAGAAACACTTGGATGTTCTCCTGCACAGAGGGGAGTGGAAAAGCCAAGGCGGAAGAGCGTTATAAGCAGAAGATCACTGGGTTTCTCGGAAGGGTGAAGCAGAGTGAGGAGCTGCCTGCTGTTCCCTGTCTCCTCTGGACCTGCACCCAGGTCTGGTTGGACCTTTACCTGCTCCAGCTCCTGCTCAGCATATTTCTGCCTGCTCAGCTCGTTCTCTGTGCCCTCCCGCAGCTCTCGCAGCCGGTGAGCCTCCTGCTTGGCGATGCTGATCTCATCCTGCAGCTTCTTCTCCAGGTGCACCTTCTCCACCTCCACGGAGCGATGCTCCTCCTGGGCCTTCTGCAACCTGGAAAAGACAGAGAGTGAGAGCCCAAGTCCGAGCCTGCTGGGTGACCTGACCTCTGCTGAGGGAGTCACAGAATCACAGAATCTTCTAGGTTGGAAGGGACCTCAAAGATCATCTTGTCCAACCGTCAACCCAACTGACAAAAATAGACACCCACACAACAAACAAGGAGCATCATCACTAAACCAGACCTCCCAGCACTACATCAACCCGTCTTTTGAACACCTCCAGGGATGGGGCCTCAACCACCTCCCTGGGCAGCCCATTCCAATGGCTGAGTCCAGGGGACAAGGACTGGCCAGCCACAATCTAGACCAACCCTATGGTTATTTACTCTGTGTTGATGTCAACAGAGATCTGGAAGGTCAAGGAGAATGTTCATCGTGCCTGGGAAGGAATTACATTGTCAACTCCACACTCTCGACTTTATTTCATGTATTAAATACTCAGTGCATATTTCCTTAATTTTTTAAACCACATCAAGATTTCCTTTATCAAGCCCCAAATTAATTTGAAATTTCAGTGTTTTTACAAAAATTAAGACCTTTGTCTTTAATTAAAAAAAAATAGGGAGGGGAAGATCTGCCGGAGCAGGTATGAACCGCCAGATGGGACGTCTCCATGTTCCACTTCAAAACCGTTCAAATTCAGACACGTCTTAATCTTGCCTGGAAGTTATTATTTTTCCTCATGACGGGATTAAATGGGTAGGAATTACATACAGAAACAAAAAGCAGTAAGAGATTACTTGTACCCGGTCAGCAGAGCTCAAGCTTTCGGCCCGGAGAGGCTCAGCCTCTGAAGGAGACCCCACCGCAGCCACAGCGAGGTCTTTTGGGGTTTCCACCTTTGTGTTTTTGGGGGAAAATGGTGGAAACTCAGTCCTCGCACCAGTTCAGTGACATAAATTGGCATCAGGAAGGAACCCGGCCCCTGTGGGACTGGGGTCTCCTGGAAGGGAGCAGGGAAGTCCCTGGTTGCGGCCACCCACCCAACCCCTAGTCCCAGCAGACCCTCTCTGGGTGGTCCCACCTGCTTCTGGAGACATGGCCATTGCCCAGTATAAGGGGAAAAAATAAAGATTTGGCAAATATTCTGTTGAAACGCAACAAAGAGGTTCCCTTCATAATGGGCCTGAAAAAACATGTTGAACAAGTGCCACCGATGAAAGAAATAAGAGTATTAAAGGGTTTCTTGCAAGAACCAGCCTCATGATCCAAATCAAAAATAACTTTTTGGTTGTTTTTTGTTGTTTGTTTTTTGTGGGGTTTTTTGTTTGGTTGGTTTTTTTTTAATGGTGGCAACAAACAAGCCCTGGACGCAAATTCCTGAGGAATGTGGCACATCCATCTTAGGACAACTTCAAACCAAGATGTGATGAGTTTCCAGAACCTCTACTTCAGCTCCTGGATTGAACACAAGGAGGTGTTGGGGCTCACGCCATCAGAAACCAGCTGCATTGATCTGTCCCACCCTTTAAACTTCAACTTCTCCTCCAAAAGTTATCACAGTTTGAGATAATGCAAGTTGGAGAACCTCATGCTGCATGAGCAGCAACACTATTTTTCACCCAGATCAAACTGAGGAAAATCCCATTTTCTGCCAGGAGAAGCAAAGCTCTGTCTGTTCTCCCCCAAAACCAGCCCCTTCCCCTACGGGCACCCCCTGCCCTGCCCGGGCACCTCCTAGGGATTGGTGGGACCTTAAATGAGGTCCCAACCTCCACTGATGCTACCACCAATGTTTGTGAGGTTGGTGAGGCACCAGCTCAACCAGCAACACCAGTAACCACTCAAAGCAGACAGATTTTTCAGTGACCAAGTAAAACTATCCATACAACAAAAAACCAGGCCAACAAACCCATCCTACAATTTTAATGGTGGCAACAAACAAACCCTGGACGCAAATTCCTGAGGAATGTGGCACATCCATCTTAGGACAACTTCAAACCAAGATGTGATGAGTTTCCAGAACCTCTACTTCAGCTACTGGATTGAACACAAGGAGGTGTTGGGGCTCACGCCATCAGAAACCAGCTGCATTGATCTGTCCCACCCTTTAAACTTCAACTTCTCCTCCAAAAGTTATCACAGTTTGAGATAATGCAAGTTGGAGAACCTCATGCTGCATGAGCAGCAACACTATTTTTCACCCAGATCAAACTGAGGAAAATCTCATTTTCTGCCAGGAGAAGCAAAGCTCTGTCTGTTCTCCCCCAAAACCAGCCCCTTCCCCTACGGGCACCCCCTGCCCTGCCCGGGCACCTCCTAGGGATTGGTGGGACCTTAAATGAGGTCCCAACCTCCACTGATGCTACCACCAATGTTTGTGAGGTTGGTGAGGCACCAGCTCAACCAGCAACACCAGTAACCACTCAAAGCAGACAGATTTTTCAGTGACCAAGTAAAACTATCCATACAACAAAAAACCAGGCCAACAAACCCATCCTACAACCCCAAGTGGAACCATCTGAGCCAGAAATAAGTATTTCAAGGCCATAAAAATCTTCTCCCACTCAAGATCTTCACCATTCAAACTGGAGAGCAAACCAATGGAGCAATGTGAGGGGAGACAGACGAGAGGGGATAGCGAGGTCTGGCCCCGGGTGGGCTGTACCTGGGCTGCAAATGACAAATAATGACATAAATAAAACAAAAAATAAATAAATGACATTTTGGGAGGGCTCTCCTGGGTTCCCCGAGCGGCTCCTGCTCATCCTGGACCTGCTGGTGACTAAAGAAAAGGGAGAAGCCAACCCTCGCAGAGGATCCATCACATGCAGCAGTGTCCATTGTCCAGCCTGGGATGGAAGTGGTTGGGTGTTTGGGTGAGAGGGGACCTTCTGGGTCCCAGCCAAGGACTCCTCTCCCTCAGGCTCCTCCTTGGCACCCAGATGGCACCTGCAGAGGATCCATCACATCCATTGTCCAGCCTGGGATGGAAGTGGTTGGGTGTTTGGGTGAGAGGGGACCTTCTGGGTCCCAGCCAAGGACTCCTCTCCCTCAGGCTCCTCCTTGGCACCCAGATGGCACCGAAATCCAGGCTGGATGGGCTGGACTCTCATCTCCTGGGACGTTGGCTCTCGTCTTGGAAAAGGCTCGTTTTCAATTTACAGCTCCGTTGAGAAACTCAAGTGTTTTTCTTCCCAATTTGAGGAGACTCTTGCCAAGACATTCCAAGTTTTTAGATAAACCCACGCTCCCTGCCCTGCGCACCAGAGCTACAGCTCTTCCATACTAGGGAATCCCAAACCACCCAAATATCTCTGTTTAAAGGAGAAATTCCCCTTTAATGTGACGCAGAATGGGAAGGAATTTTATCCTGAAGTTACTTCTCCAAGGCACTCGAACACCGTGTTTTCCCTCACTACCATCTCTCTGTGACAGCAGAGCCTGTATTTTCTTACGTTGGTTAAGGACAAGACCACGCACTGTGTGTTCCCAGGGAAACCCAGCCAAGCTCCATCAGATGACAGTGTCTTCAGAGCTGCACTTGAAATGAGGGCAAGAAACCAAGGTTCAGCTGGAGGCTTCACAATTCAGGAGCAGATCTTCAACACAGTCAGTAGATCTTCAACACGGACCTTCAGTCATCAGTAGGATGTGCCAAAACATGAACTTTTCTATCTTGATGGGTCATTTAAGTGACTGGGAAGTGCCACTGTTGAAGGATGGTCTCAAAAAGTACTTTAAAGGTGAACAAAAAGTGGGGTTTTGTATCAATCCTCCCTTCCCAACTCTTCAAGAGCACATCAGGTCTTCAAAAACCAGTGTGAGCGGCTGGTAGGCATCTGGAAAGGCATCCCATGCCTTCAGGAGGTCTTCCCCTTCAGGGAGAGGAGGCATCCCATGGCTTCAGTACTCAGCCCTTCAGCTCTGAGTGTCAATGAGCCAGGAGAGGAGGTTACTTCAAGCTCCAGGGAGAAAATTCTAGACGTTTCTGAGCAGAACTTCAGAACAAGTCCCCGGGAACTGGTTCTGTTGGTAGATTTTGCCATTTCTACAGTAGCAGAAGACCACAGCTGAACCTTGCTGGAGCTCAGGGATGAAGAAGCCAAAGTGAATTCCGCCCCCTTCAGAGAAGAATGAGATCAATCCTCTGCCAAGTGGCCCCACAAGCCCCAGGAATTAATTCACCTCCTGCTTCTCAAGCTCCAGCTCGGTGACCTCTGCAGAGGACAAGCCCTCCCAGCTGCACACCCCACAGAACATCACAAGCTTCTCCGGCTTAAGACTCAAGCTATGCTTAGTATACGTGGTTTTGGGTTTCTTCTTATCTGGCTTTAGAGCATTAGTTGAACATCTACTTGTTTACGTGGCTCTGCCCTCGGCTGCAGATCCCAAGGTTGTTCCCTACACGGCACGTTCACAGCAGCCGGCGTTGGGACCTCTGGTGTGACCTGCTCCTCCTCTGTGACACCCAGCAGAGACCTCCCGCTGCTCCAGGAGATGGACGCTGAGAAGGAATTCCCCTCTTTTTCTGCCCACAGGAAAAAAAAAATAATATCTTTTTCTTTGGGCTACGTCCAACCCACAATGTGAAATTGCAGAAAAGCTTTGTGAAACCAGCTGTGGATTGGAGCCGGCTCCACCTCAGGCAGAGAGGAAACGGCCTTCAGTCGATCTCCATGCCAAGAAGAACGTGGGTCACGTATCTGCATGACTGCCAGGGGAACGTGCCCAGTTTGGCACCGTCACCTTGGGACTCTCTCAAGCGTCTGCCTTCCATGGAGACACCAACCGATCACAATGTGAAACTGCAGAGAGCTTTGTGAAACCAGCTGTGGATTGGAGCCGGCTCCACAGAAGACAGAGAGGAAACGGCCTTCAGTCGATCTCCATGCCAAGAAGAACGTGGGTCACGTATCCGCACGACTGCCAGGGGAACGTGCCCAGTTTGGCACCGTCACCTTGGGACTCTCTCAAGCGTCTGCCTTCCATGGAGACACCAACCGATGGGATCGTGCTCCAAGAAGAAAGGCTTTCAAGCAACGCTCACGTGAGGAATGATTCCCTGAAGGCTTGGAGGCGAGAAATGGGGCTGCAGCCATAGAATCATTGAATGTGTTGGGTTGGAAGGGACCTTTAAAGGTCACCTAGTCCAACCCTCAGCCTTGTGGGTACCTCGCAGGGTTTCCAAGGACTTGGCTGCTCGCAAAAGTCTCCACGGAAGATCGACCTCCTCGGGATCTTGGCCAAGGGGAACGCAGCCATCAACTCATACGGCAGCCAAGTCAAGGCTTATGCTCCAAAATCACACTTAAAAGTAATGAAAAATAGTCACAGCCCAAGACTATGCTCTATTATTTGCTAAACCTGCACTTAAAATGTATCTTATTGCCAAAAAAACCCCACTGGCTTGTCATCAATGGTCTGGAATGCTTTCTTTCCTAGAAGACTCCTGTGTCCATGGAGGGCCTCTTTCACAGCCTGTTCCCCAATGAGCACCTTCACTGGAACCACCACAATCTTTTCTGGGAGCAGAGGTCACGTTCCTGAAGCTCCAGTATTTTGCCCAAGTGGTCAGAGTTCAACTATTCACATGTTAATACTCCAAAATTGGGTTTTTTTCATTCTTTCCAGGCCACACTCTGGGGTTTAGGTGTCACCGTGCAGGGAAGTAGGGACTTCTACATAAGGCCCAAAGAGCTCCAGAGGCAGAATTCCTCCTTCAGCACGCTCTTTCACCATCGAAAGCCCGGGGGAAGCAACCTGATGAGCCTGGATGACAAGTTCTGAGAGAGCTGGGTCACCTCCTGCTCCTTTGAGAGGTTCTTCTGCCCCTCTGGGGACAGATTTACGCCGTAATTTTGGGGATGAGGATCCTGATATATTTTCAGTCTGAGTCAGACCAGGAGTAGAAACCACTGCACGTTTCTCTGCTCCTCTCTAATTGTGGTAAATAAATAAAAGAACCTATTTGAGAGAAAGCAAAGCAGAGTGACCTCTGTTGGGCACGGAGGATGCTCCCATCCATCGAGCCCCCTTGACGTTTTGCTCCTGGAAGCAGCGAAATTCTGAGTGTGGGGAAAGCAGCAAAACTCACCACAGGCAACTCTTCCCACAAATTCAGAAACTAATTTTTTTTCAACCCAGTAACGACCAACGGAGCAGAGCAGGAACTCAAAGGTCAAACCACGAGATAAAAACCATGGTAGAAAGGAAACAAAACCACGTGGGAGCACACGGGGCCACGCTCAAGGGTGTTGGCATGTGTTGGAGGCCACCTCAGAGCAGGAGATGCCAGTGTCACGTGCTGTCACTTTGCTCGAGTGGCTTCACGGCCGCATTTCAGGACTGCTGCTACCATGAGGGTGTTTTTCCCACCCAGGCCTTCCTGTGGCTCACCACAAGTACAAATCAGTAGCACGTCACCACCAAAGAGTGGGTCGAGCAAGCACGTAGACATCTTTACTGCAGCCTGGTGAGAAGCCAAGTGCCCAATGGAGCTGGTAAGAGGGGCTGGGAGGTCTCCAATAGAGTCTCCTTCACAGCTACTACTGCCCCATCTCTGGAAGTGTTCAAGGCCAGAGTGGATGGGGCCTTGAGCAACCTGCTCTAGTGGGAGGTGTCCCTGCCCATGGCAGGGGGGTTGGAACTTGATGATCTTTGAGGTCCCTTCCAACCCAAACCATTCTCTGATTCTATGATACTCAGGAAGGTGGTGCCGCACAGAAGCACCATGGCTAAAGAGAAAATCTTTCCCAAAACCTAAATGAGGAATAACCTTGCAGGAAAGATCAACAGTTGGATGCTCCTACTGGGTGGATGCAAAAAAACTTACCGTTCTTGAAGGTCGTGGAGAGACTGTTCCGCTCTGTGGAGCCCTTCCAGGTCTTTCATCATCTTCTTCATGTGCTCCTTTGAATAGCGGTTCTGGATGTAGGCAAACCAGCAGCCACCCACGCCGATGACGATGGACACCACCAGCATGAAGTCCTTCAGGTGGTTGTGACGAGTTACTGGAAGAGACCAGAGATGCTACTGAATTCAGAAGAACAGGAAAATTAACTCTGGTACGCTTCGTCTGCACCAGGGTAGAAAAGAACTAAAAATAGTATTAGAAGGAGTTATGGCCCAGGTTTCATAAAGGGAAAAGATGAGCTACATCGATATTTAAGGGGAAAAAAATAAACCTCCAGAAGAGCTGTGCTCTTTGAGGACAATACCGAGAACATTGGATACAAAGGTGTAAGAGCGAAGAAGGAAATAAATTTGTTGAAAAAAATACGAGTGTGATCCCAGAGAGGGAGCAGATCGAGCATCAAAGTGTCAGCTGCAAAAATCAGAAGGAAATAACTTTGTGGAAAAAACTACGAGTGTGATCCCAGAGAGGGAGCAGATCGAGTATCAAAGTGTCAGCTGCAAAACTTCCCATCAGAATCACAACTCGGTGTGGAAACCCCCACCTTCAACACTTAGAAAAGAGCAGCTACTTAAAAAAAGATGTGTGGATGCATGTGAGAGAACCCAGTAAATAAGTGGGGGTTTAAGTGCTAAACAAACACCAAACCCATGACTCACACAGAATTTTTTACTGTTTACTAACTAGGAAATCCTCAACTGTACCAAGAAAGCTAAAAATGAGAAAGAGCAGCTCAGTCAAGAGAGCTGGGACTGAACGTTCAGTGTCTGCTGGCTTTAAATTGAAAGAGGGGAGATGGAGATGAGATGTGGGGAAGAACTTGTTTGGTGTGAGGGTGGTGAGAGCCTGGCCCAGGTTGCCCCGAGAAGCTGTGGCTGCCCCATCCCTGGAGGGGTTCAAGGCCAGGTTGGAGGGGGCTTGGAGCAACCTGGTGTGGTGGGAGGTGTCCCTGGATGGGACTGGATGGGCTTGAAGGTCTCTTCCCACCCAAACCATTCCATGATTCTACGACTGTAAGAACATCTCCATCAGGCACAGACAGGTTAGAGCAGCATTTTCACCCAGGGGAGCCATCACGTAACCGATACTGGGATTCCTTCATGGCTCGGTTACAAGCCACAGACAGAATCATAGAATGGTCTAGGTTGGAAGAGACCCTTGGGATCATCGAGTCCAACCATCTCCCCTACTCTACAAAGTCCTCCCCTACACCATGTCCCTCAGCACTGCATCTAAACGGCCCTTAAACACAGCCAGGGATGGGGACTCCACCCCCCCCCTGGGCAGCCTGTTCCAACGCCCGACCACTCTTTGGGTGAAAAATTCCTTCCTAATGTTCAATCTAAACCTCCCCTGTTGGAGCTTGAAGCCGTTCCCTCTCGTTCTGTCACTAATGACCTGTGAGAAGAGACCAGCACCAACCTCTCTACAGTGTCCTTTCAAGTAGTTGTAGAGAGTGATGAGGTCTCCCCTCAGCCTCCTCTTCCTCACACTGAACAGTCCCAACTCCCTCAGCCGCTCCTCAGACGATTTGTTTTCCAGCCCCCTGGAATGTTGTGTTACTCTCCAGCAGGACACAAACACACACACACACACAAACATTAAGGATTTGGCCAAAATGAATCGCTCCTACGTGAAGCCTTGAGGTGCAGCATCGTGTCAAGGCACGTGCAGCATCCAAGGGATTCACTGCCCTGTGCCCCATGGACAGGCGTGAACTGCAGAGAGAGGGGGGCAGTCAAACAGAAGAAGCCACTACTCCAGCCTCAAAACCTACCACGGCAAGTAGATGTGTCAGAAACATAAAGGCATTAAACCTGTCATTTGGAAAAAGCCTTCCGTTGGATCTTGCTTTTCTGATGGAGTTATTATTAAGTGAAGAGCAGCTGACATGTGCCATAACTGGGAAAAAATAAGGTTTTTAGAGGCCGGTTCCCCGCCAGCAGCAGATGATGGAGACAGATGCTCCAACTGCTCCGACTGCATCCTCAGGGCTGCACCACATGAAGCTCATCATTACTGGCACAACTCATCATTATTTGGTCAAAGTGCTGGCGTCCAACCTCGGTAACGGCACCGAACTCGTTCCATGACTCCTCCTGGTCACAACCCATCGGGCTGGAAGCACCTTATTCTACTGGGACCACCATCGCCAACAGAAAACTCATTTCTGGAGTGAGCTGCTGCCGTTGGCAGCTGGTGGGGATTGCTTTGGTTGATTGAGAGCCAGAAATGAGGAATAAGCCAGGACATTTTTATTATTTTTTTCTTTTTTAAAATGTGACATTTAAAGCTGGTGAGGGGCCTGAAGCACAAGGAGAAGGGTCTGGAGAACTTCTGAGGGAGCTGGGGGTGTTGAGCCTGGAGAAAAGGAGGCTGAGGGGAGACCTTCTGGCTCTCTCCAACTCCCTGAAAGGAGGGTGTAGCCAGGGGGGGTCGGTCTCTTCTCCCAAGGAACAGGCCATGGGACAAGAGGAAACAGCCTCAAGTTGCCCCAGGGGAGGTTGAGGATGGAGCTTGGGAAGAATTTCTTCCTGGAAAGGGTTGTGAAGCCTTGGCAGAGGCTGCCCAGGGCAGTGGTGGAGTCCCCATCCCTGGAGGGATTTCGGAGCCGGGCAGAGGTGGTGCTGAGGGACATGGGTCAGTGGTGGGTTTGTCAGTGGTGGGTTGATGGTTGGACTCCATGGTCTGGAAGGTCCCTTCCAACCTCCACCAGTCTATGGGTCTACGATTGGGGTGTTTGTTCTGCAGAAACACAACTACTGCAGGGACCCCTTAGTGCACAGACGTTAAGAAAAAGGAGAAATAGTGACTTTGTTCGAGATAAGCTCACCTGTAAACTCACAGACACTGGAGAAAATGAGCTTTTCCAGGAGCTACTTTTTTTTTTTTTTGAAAGAAGAAAAAGGTGGGAACAGGCCATGGGACAAGAGGAAACAGCCTCAAGTTGCCCCAGGGGAGGTTGAGGATGGAGCTTGGGAAGAATTTCTTCCTGGAAAGGGTTGTGAAGCCTTGGCAGAGGCTGCCCAGGGCAGTGGTGGAGTCTCCATCCCTGGAGGGATTTTGGAGCCGGGCAGAGGTGGTGCTGAGGGACATGGGTCAGTGGTGGGTTTGTCAGTGGTGGGTTGATGGTTGGACTCCATGGTCTTGAAAGGCCCCTTCCAATCTCCACCAGTCTATGGGTCTACGATTGGGGTGTTTGTTCTGCAGAAACACAACTACTGCAGGGACCCCTTAGTGCACAGACGTTAAGAAAAAGGAGAAATAGTGACTTTGTTCGAGATAAGCTCACCTGTAAACTCACAGACACTGGAGAAAATGAGCTTTTCCAGGAGCTACTTTTTTTTTTTTTTGGAAAGACGAAAAAGCTTGGCACCACCTCAAAAGTTTTCCTGGCTGGAAAACTTTCCTCAGCGAGGAAAACTGCTGGGGCCTAACTCCCAGGAGAACCTCTCTCCTCCTCGCTCCACGGGTCCGGCCTCAGCCCCTTCTGGGAACACTCTTGTGTGACTTGGCAGCATTTTCCCAGCAGGGACAGATCCTGCAGGGGGGCAGGAGAAGGGACCATCTGCCTCCTCCCTCCCACAGCCCCCAGAAACCCAACCCATCCACCCCGTCTGGAGCCAAAGTGGCACCACTGGGCAGACGGAGGGTCCACGTGGGATACAGGGAGGTCCCCTCTGCCTGATGGATGACCAAAGGGGTGACAGGAGCAGGGGGAGGTTCACCTGGGTCACGGATCATGATAGGAGGAGAGGGAAGGGTTTGACCCTGAAAGAGGGGAGATGGAAAGGAGATATGGGGAAGAACTTGTTTGGTGGGAGGGTGGTGAGAGCCTGGCCCAGGTTGCCCCGAGAAGCTGTGGCTGCCCCATCCCTGGAGGGGTTCAAGGGCAGGTTGGAGGGGGCTTGGAGCAACCTGGGCTGGTGGGAGGTGTCCTTGCCCAGGGCAGGGGGTGGCACTGGGATGGGGCTGTAAGGTCCCTTCAAGCCCAAACCATTCCATGGTTTGATGATCACAGCCAAAATACACACAGGGAAGGCCCCTCGGGCAGGCTGTTCACTTGGGAGGTGTAAACCCAAAGACATAAAGCAAAGCTCAGTGTGGAATTGTGGGGTTTGGGGGGTCCCCACAGCCCTGCCCCTGGTCTGCACGGAGGAGGGACAGCGATGCTGGTCCCCTGACTGCAATGGAGGGAGAGGGACGGGACCTTTCCAAGCACCTTCTCCCCTCATCTTTGGAAACACCACCATGTGTCGGCTGAACAGGAGCCAGCAGTGTGCCCAGGTGGCCAAGAAAGCCACCAGCATCCTGGCCTGTGTCAGGAACAGTGTGGGGAGTAGGGCCCGAGAGGTGATCCTGTGATTCTGTGATCTATCACCCAACGCACCACAGGAGAGTTCAATCATCCTCCGAAAACACTCACTCACGAACTCAACACTAGAGAAATAAACACGGTTAACACCGGCCCCGTTTCCCATCCCGGATGGATTATCACAACATCCTCTTCCTAAGGAGCAGATCCTGGCAAGTCGCTGCAGGTCCCTGATTTCAAAGCCCTTTTATTCAGCGTTTGGAGAAGACAGAAAGGCGGACTCGTCCGGATGGTTTCCCTTCTGCCCACCCACGGCTGTTACATCTCTCCTCTCCCTTCCCCGTTTGCTCCACCATTCCCATTCCCTGCCTCGCCACCTCCCAGCCTGGAGGGAAGGCAAGTCCTGGTGATATCTGCCAGCCCCACCTCCAGCTGATTCACCTCCCGCTGCCATGCCCAGCGCCAACTGGTCTCAGCTCCACCACACGAGCCCTTGACAAACATCCCTCCTCTTTGGCAGCTTTCACTTGAGTGAAGTGGGTAAGGAAAGTCAAAGGAAAACCCATTCTTGCCCACCCACGGCTGTTACATCTCTCCTCTCCCTTCCCCGTTTGCTCCACCATTCCCATTCCCTGCCTCGCCACCTCCCAGCCTGGAGGGAAGGCAAGTCCTGGTGATATCTGCCAGCCCCACCTCCAGCTGATTCACCTCCCGCTGCCGTGCCCAGCGCCAACCGGTCTCAACTCCACCACACGAGCCCTTGACAAACATCCCTCCTCTTT